AACATACCACAAAATACAGATCCCGCCGAAGCAGCTGTTAATTGCAGCAGCAAATCCTGAAGAGCAACAGAAAATGGCAAATGTCACGAGGCTACGACAGTCATGAGTGACATAGGGGCTGTAACCCACTCCATCTCCTCAACATTAAAAGGAAAGATCCAAACTAACCTAGAATCGGTAGCTTTTAACTGCAGAACACACACCTACCTAATAAACAGCCTAGAAAGAGTTGTTTAAACACTCCAAAGAGTTATGAGAAACAAAGCCCTGGTGCTTACATCAGAGGCAGAAAGGATCCTACATTAAACACAGCTCCTGGAAAGCATCCCTGCGAGGGGCACAAAAATATATCAAAGTTACCGTCTTAGCTACGCCCGTGTCCCCGGTCTTACTCACATTTCCTGGGACACAGCCTTCCTTGTGTAGATAGGATTAATTCTAACAAATTGCACTTCAGATAAACATTTATAAATTTTAAAAGCTATTATCAGCTGCCATTTATTATATACTTGCACATACGCATCACATGGAGTGATGTTTCAAGGCAGCTCTGAAAACTAATATAAACCTGCAGAAGAATATTAAAACAAAAATCAAAGATAAAACAAAACCAAAACTGATATGGAAGGATTTACAGTGATTTAAGTAGCATCCATTTGAAGAAATGCTACTACTCTTTTTGAAACACAGTGAATTTTAAGCACCTCTGTATTTTATCAGAAGAGTTAAATTATTGTTACCTAGAGAGGAAAACAGAAGTTTGGCACTTTCAATAAAATTTGCTTGTTATTGCACCCTGTACTTTGCATGGCAAATGTATACTCAAAAAATATGCAGACTGTACAAAGACAGTATTTATGCAGCTGACTAGAGAAACTGCAGTCAAAATAGGCACCAAAAAACAAGAAGAAAAAAAAAAGCACCAAAAAAAGAAGAAAAAAGGCATCTAAGCCCCTTACTTGTGCATTTCCCAAACATAAGAAAATATCATAAAAAGGAAATTCAGCTGCTTGGCTTTTCTGGAAGGGAAATCTATAGAGAAAACCAGACATTTCAGAAGCTTTGATGTAAACACTTACTTTCAGCCAGAATTTTGAATCTGAATGCAAAATGTCACTGAAAGCAAAAGGGATTCAGTTCGCCTACAGTGACCAGCAAGATGGTTTTGGAAATTTACCTTCTTTTCCAGATTCATCACTTTTATCTGATGTAATCTTGTATTAATTTGGGTTCAGTTCAAAGGCAAGGTACCTTCAAAGATATTGCAAGCCACTTGACCAGAAACAGCCAAGTTTCCACAATAACTAAAACTTGAAAAACGGCTGATGGAGCATTTAAAGGCAGACAGACCTCAGCATGGTCAAAGGAACAGAAAGCTCTGTGGGACATCCCTTCCTCCAGGCTAGGAAAATACAGTGGATGTGAACCTGAAGTCCAGACCAACACCCAGCTCAGGAGCACGAGCGCTCCAGATCAGGCTGGTCGAGGCAGGGACACCAAGGCTGCTGGTGCCTCTTCCCCTCCCGGGAGGACTCCTGGAACGAAAACTGGAAGTTTTGTTTCATGAGCACTTTTGTGCATTTTTCTTTTACCCCCATTTTGCAGGGAACAGCCTTCTGTGCAAAGGAGCCACAAGACACACGTGAAAAAACCAACACTTGTGTGCAGATGACTTTTCCCCCACATTTGTAAAGTCAAACTTTTGTCATTCACCATTAGATTCCCATTTTGCTTTTCCAGGAGAATATCTGTGGCACATATAGGAAGGAAGAAAAAAACTTTCAGGGAGAATTATGGTAAGAGCTGGAGCAAGGGGAAGCAAGATCCCTCTATTGCTACCTCCCATAGGCCCCACACGTGCAAAGCAAATAGTGCTCACACACACTGGCCTCAAGAACTTCTTAACATCACAACAAACTCGTGGTCCCTAACCAGGCATCCAGGTCAGGATATCAGCAGGGAAGACAGAGATTGAAAAACTTGATCCTCAGAAACCAGCAAAATGCACAGTGTTTTCACTGGGAAAATTGCTTAAAAATCTCTGAGGAAGCTGGTTGGATTTAAGAGTGCTGATCCATAACAGCAAATTAAGGTGGGTTGGCTGTCAAGACTCCTGTGCAGAGCAAGGACAATTTAAACAAGGTGCCTAAACACCTAAATCTGGATTGCAAATTCAGAAAACTCGTGAGGTCCTCCACACGTGGTTCAGCCCTCTCAAGCGGTTGCCAAGAGGAGCCAGGACAGCCAGGCCGGTGACAGATCCAGTTCTGCCTAGAGCTGTTCCCTGCAGAGACATCCCAGCTCCCAGGGCTCTGGGCTGGCTGCCCCCCTCCACCCAAGGCCCCGGCTATGAAACTCTCTCTCCACTGCTGAAGTGAACCATCTCTTTCCCAAAGGCTATCCCAGAGTCCCAACTATCCATACGGCCATACACAACCTCCCACAACACCAGGCACTCCCTGGGGTAAGGGGAGTCTTGGTTTCCAAATCCTGCTCCAGACTGAAAAGGAAACTGGATTATTTCATGCTTTCCCCCCTAACTTGCTCATGACAGGGCTCCTGGATTAAGAGCAGGGCAGGCAGAGGGGCAAATATGCTCACCGGACCCCAAAGGACACATCCCTGCTCTCCTACATGCAACCCAAGCTAGGCTGGATCAGCCCCACAGACAAAGCAGTCTGAGGACCATCATCATCCTCATGCCCTACCTAGCCAGCACCACAGCACCGAGAGGCAGAGATCCCTCGTGGTTCCTCAGCCAGAGCACGGGATGATCCACAGGGGCAGCTCTCACCCTTGTTCTGATTTACTGCTTCATGTTCCATCTTTCTCTGCCTTCAGCCTCGTGTTCCCATCCTTGCACCAGCTCCCTGGGAGCTGATCCAGCTCACTAGCTCGGACAAATCAAAAAAAAAAAAAAAGAAAAAAAAAGAAAAAAGAAAATAGAGAAGTAAAACAGAAAAAAAAACCCACTACATCAAGCCCCAAGATGTGCAACTTTAAGCTCGAGGACGGGCTTATTGGAAATCTGCTTCAATTCTTTCCTTGATGAGGGAGCAAGAAAGATGATTTTGAGAGGAGTGCCAAATCTTTAACCGACATGCCTGAAACCAAAGGCGACAAGTGTCTCTAGAGACACTTGGCTCCCAATCACCCAACTCCAAGCAAGCTATAGGAGTAGCTGCCTGTTAAGAAGTTGAGTTTGCAATTATCCCACCAAGTGACAAAATTTAAGCTTCTTGATCAAGTCTAATCAAGAGTATCAGCAACACACACCAGTCACCAGCAGATTTTTGTTCACTTTATGCCATTAAAAAGAAAAAAACCCACTACCGTTAATCCTATTCAAAGTGTAAACATTTAGTTCACTAATTTTAACTGCAAAACACTGCTAACGTATACATAATTTGTTACTACGTGCATTTATTTACTTTTTTTTTTTCTGGATGCTGAATGCCCTCAAGTGTACTGGGGAGCTACAGTAAGGACTTGGAGATAGCAGCCTGCAATATTTCAAATAGCATTTTCAGAAGATTTCTAAGTCACTTAGAAAACTAGGCTCAAAAGTGAGACAGATACTTGGAAACATTTAATCCCATCACTTTTGAATATGGAATTTCTGCACTTACTCATGAGAAAAATAAACTGCTAAAATTTCAAAAAAGGGATGTCTTATAGATAAGCTAACAGCACTTGAGATTTCACAAGACAGCTGAAGATAGAATTCGTGGTTCACATTTTTGTAGTAAAGCATTCTATATAAATTTAAAATCTTAAGATATATATACACACCAAGTTTATTGCAATGCATAAATATATATAATATGCCAACTAATATAGGCCTGAAAACTGATGTATATAATTCAAGTCTTGCAGCACTTCAGCATTACAAAAAAAATAAATAAATAGTGGTCAATGGGTTAGCTGCTATGCCCTTCCCACCTCACCCCACTCGGAACCAGAATAATTCCAACTAGGAATCAGCATTATGGAAGGATTATGAGCAGGAGTAAGTTTTAGAATGTCCCTTAGAGAATATTTAAAGATACTTATTGCATTAATTTGGGAGGGTATCTGAGCAGATCTGAGTCAATGAAGATAACATCCACTTACATTAACTGAGGGCAAAGATTGGCTTCTGAGGTCCACAAAGTTGCAAAATGGAAAGTACTATATCTAGTTATAATACTGGTAAGATAAAGTCTTTTTCTTATGGGCAGGAAATTTCAGTTCTATTTCCATCTCTCTCTTTCTCTTTTTTTAAATAAATATATGTTATATCCCACCTAACACAAACAACAACAATGAAATCAAGAAGTGAGGTAAAATGTTCTACCAGCTGATCTTTACTATGGAGAACTCGAATATCACTACTGCTGTGAACAAGATTTAGCAGGAAATAATACACAAGATACTGAAGTCTTCACCATAACCACACCATAAAACCCAGCTTTCAAACAGTAGTAGTAAACAGGACTTTGTACCTTAGCACAGACACCACTAGTAAACCAGCTTTTGATCCCAATTTAAAGCTGCTGTACAATTTTCACTTAAGTGATGGTCCAAAAATCAGGTTTTCTGCAAAAGAAACAGATCCTTGTCACATGCTACCTTTGTTCTAATGGAGATTAAAATGTACCTTCCTACAGTCCTCAGTCTTAAAAATCCTGCTCTCGGCCAGCAGACCAGCTAAAGTAAAAAGGTACAGAGACTATTTTCTTCCATTTGCCAAATTTTGTTATCTTTTATCGAGAACAGCAATTGTCATGAACTTTTCCAATTACTTTTTCCCTTTCCTTCAAGGAAACAGCCTCCAAAATCCACACAGAAATGCATGCCACCCATCTGTACACCAGTGCGCCAGGCTATTCAAATGACAGCGTAGAAAAAAAGAAAAAATCCACTTATCTGTAGTGTATTGTATCTGTTTTACATTAGTTCATTTTAAATATATTAAAAATATTCTTAGGAATGAAAACATTGCAAATGAATGAAAAATATATGTACACCTCCACCATTTTTAGGCACAGACCTTAACTTTTGAGAAAGGACTAGAAATAAATGGTGCAGCAACAACCAACATCTCCTATGGCATTACAGTCAAACAAGAGTCTTTGCAGTATACCAGAGAGGTTGGTTTTCATATAGCTTCTGTGCATTAGAGCTATCTAGTCCAAGATAGCACATTTATTCTTATCAATTCCCCGCAGGGGAAATGCACCTTAAAACATTTTTGCTCTCCATGAACTTTGTCAAAGGATTACCAAATCCCACCAGTTTCAGACACAAAGAAACTCCTTCTGTAACACAGTTTAAACTCCAAACGATTAGGACTGAAGGTGTTTCCTTATCTCATTTTTATATCTCTTCTTTTAATGTATACGTAGAGTTATTTGTCCCCGAAACATGAACTGAGACTCAAGCTTTTTAAGCATTTAAAACAAAAACAGTTACCATACCAAAGCACAGCATACAGTAAGTTTCAGTTGCAATTTCTCAGCTTTTCCTTTATATAGAGCTATATTATGGTGGACTGCGTAGAATTCTTCCAGTCTCCTCCACTTCCAGCCCCGGAATCATGGAGAGTGCACACGGATACGGAATAATCCCTGCTGCAGCTGCAGGCGGAAGAGCTTGCAGTTTGCAATGCGCAGCGCCGCGCAGCCCGTGCGGCGCAGGTCCGACTGAAGCAGAGGCTTCGTGCGCTGCCAGGTCCCCGTGCTCCGCTTAAATTCTCTAACATAGTCATAATTTGTACCTAAACTCACAAAGAATGAAAGAAATATGTAAAGCACACCGTAGCTACCGCCATTTTAGGCGAATACTTATTTACCAGAGTGAACTAGAGCACACATGCACTCTCAAAACATTTCTGGATACTATTTAAGTGGTTTAAAAACATGAGACATTTCTTACTGACTTAAATACACCATATTTTTATCTTGCTTTTTCATATTTTGTAGAGAGTGTGGTATACATACACAGACATATACTATGTAGAGTCAGGAAAATAAGCAGAATCTTTCGAAGATTTCCTATAGTATGTGGTCTGACGCTATAAGTTATGAGGGAGGAGAATCAACTATGTGTGAAAATACATGTGTATGTGGCTGGGATTTAATGCTGACAGCAGTTCCTGGCTCTGTGAATCAAGGATGATGTCCACAAAAAGCAGAAACACCTGCTCACTGATGAAAAAATAGAGGGAAAAACAAAAAAAATCCACACAGACACTTTTTCCCTAGCATTTAAGTGAGTGCAATACTGTGCTGTTCATCTTGATCTTTTCTCCCCATGTTTGCAGTGCTAATCAACCAAATACTTATAATACTGACTTTCTTTCTGAAGAGGTCCAATGTACAAGGCCTGCATGCACCTATCTGTAAATCTGGCACAACTGCCCCAGGGGCCACAGCCTCGAAATTGAACATAGTTCAGAATTACACAGAATAAAGAGAGAATCTGGTCTTTAATTCTAAAAATCAGATTCATTAGCAGCAAGTACTTAAAAGACTCAAAACCTACAAGCAACAGAAAATTAGTTCTAACCTGTATCAAGATCTCCAATGACATAAATACTGGCTCCAATAGGTACAGCTCCATACACAAAAGAAGAACTCGTTGGGATACACAAATTCTGGTCATTTAAATAAATCCACCTGTAAAAATAAAAATAAAATTTTGGCATGTTATTTTTATTGCGTGCACGAAGAAACAGGTTCTTTTTTTCCCCAGCTTGAATGGCAGGCAGAGCAAACAAATTAACTTTCTAGTTAAGAGTTGGGAATGTTTTCTAGTTGATCAGCCCTCATAGCAAAAGTAACTGCTACTGCTATTTGGAAAATTGGGAATACTTTACTTTGAGGTTGCTGTATCTTAGAACTGCTGTTTAGTTTCTCAAATATTTCTTGCAGCCACCCAGTAAGAAGACAGCAGGCACCGAGCAGAGCCTGTTCTGCAATTGCTATGACAGTCAATGTTCCCCCTAGGGAAAATTTTATGCAACTTTGTCTTCAAATCAGCATAGCCATAACAGCATAGAAATTTTAGCAGTACATTGTAGGGGAAATTACATGTTGCTATAGCAAGGCCTTATTACTAAGCAGTGCCTTCCCTCATATAATTCCCTATCTTCAATTGTACTTTGAGAGAGTCAAGAAATCCCATGTGCAGTACAAGGAATGCAGCACTTGGCAATACTCAATTTTAAACAAGGAACAGAAGTTGGAAATCGTGTTAAGGGATTTGAGGAAAGAGGAGAATTGCACTCATTGGAAGTGAAGCAGAACTTCTCCACCGCTTATCAGGCTCTTTTCAGGTGCTTCCTAGTTTCTACCAAAACTTTACAAAAATCCTTTCCGCTCACTTTTCAAACATTCCCATTTCAGCACTAAACCAGCCTGATCTTCCCACAGAGCAAAAAGCAGTTTTCCATGATGAAACCTTTGGAAACCAATCCTAGGAAAGACACTGGTTTATAAGCATGGTCCATTCATCCAGCTGTGCCACTGTCCTCCCTATGGCTTAAAAACAATTTTCTGTTGATTTCTGCTGCACTTCTGCAGATGTTGGCATAGTTTTTATTTACAGACCCTTAAAACAAAGTCAAAACTATTTTAGGTGGCCCCTCCTACCTGGGGGGAGTCCAATACTTTAATATTTTACAGAGAACAAAAATCTGAAAAAGGTTTTATAGGTGTTTTATTGCCACACCTGCTTAATTTGAGGGGAAAGTTAGGAAATATCCCCACAGAAACCACTGACCTTGGAAAACCCGTATCACCTTAACTCACAACTCAGAAGCAAGGCTCTTTCCTGACACGATGTTGACACACAGTCATTATCTTGGAGAGAGAGATCAAATTTTAAAGGCCAAATTACAGGATAAGCTGCCTGTCACTAGAGGGAAGGATGAGGAGTGTGCAGAGAACGCAGGAACATGTGTCGCTGCCGCAGGCGGGGAACACGGAGGAAGGGTCTGCAGTTAGAACTGCTCAGGTTGCAAAGGGACCGTCATGGCCCTGGCGGACAGCGTCCACCTTGCAGATGGACCTGAATTAATCCGAAACTCGGGTAACTGAAATGTAGCTTTAGCTCTAACTCATAAGTACTATGACATAACACGGCAACACAGCACCCTCTTCTGGTAACTGAGACCACCCCAGGGCTGACACGGGCAGACCTTTAGAAATAGGAAAATGAGTTTCCAAGCAGGGTTATCAGCGTTTACTACTGAGGCAAATGCAGTAACTGTTCTGGTCCCTGGCCTTGTGTTTCTGCTGGCCTGCACACACCCCAGGAGCATCTGCAGTGCAAAGGCAGGTTCCTAAGCTCAAGTAGGGAAAGCTGAGACCCAGCCTGGGTGCACGGGCAGCCCCAACACAGGCCGCCTCCTCCAGCACTGCAGCCACACCACTTGCTACCCCCTCACACCATGCACAATGCTACATCTTAACAGAAACAGTTACCTGTCTTAAATCTGCACCCACCAACAGAACTTGGGAGGCAGAAAAGAATCACCAGCCCAAGACCAAATGGTCTGGAGTGTTTTGAAGGTAGACTGTCATTTATCGGGAAAGAAATACTGACATTTCTATAAGCACCATAGTACCATAAAGTATCACCACTCAAAAGCTCAAGCAACTGGATTTCTGTTATCTTTACATGAATCTAAGAACATCTCTGGGATGCCACCAAGCAAAAAATGCAGAGCTGGTAGCATTTCCAATACAACTGCACTGAAGGCAGTAGGTGGCAGTGAGAACTCACCTACACCAAGGCTGGGACTTGCAAACTGCTCCTAATTACACTTGAGGAAGCTTCATCAGTAGCAACTGAGGGGACTAGGAATTTGCAGTCACCGGTAGGAATCTCGAGCTATTTATTGGCTTTCAAAAAACAGAGTCAGTCTGGAAACTTCTCAGCACATGAGTGAGGAATAGGGAGCTAGGGAAGCCTTTCCTGCCAGGACTTTCTCCTTCTGGGAGGACTCTTGCCCAGAAGTTTATTTGCTTTCACATTTCTCTGCATACCCAAAGGATGAGAAGTCACTATAGAACATGAGGAGCAATAAGCTATAATAAGCCTGCATCTTATAGCCACATTGCAGAATATCTTTTCCTCCAGTTTGTTTTGATTATAATTGTTTATTTTGGACACTATGTAGAAGAGAGAAGATATTTTCATGCAGAAACTGAAATCTCTTTACAACCACACATTATGAGAAAATTGTATCATAAACTTGCACTCTATTTTTTTTTATGTGCTTTTATAAAGGGCACAGTCATAAATCAATCTTGACTTTGTAATATAAACACACTAATCTCTTACACTGTCAACAACCCTTGACATATCCGACAGTAAAGTCTTATTTTTAATGCAGTTTCTAAAAAAGTGAAGACGTACCATTTATATTTGCATGCAAGAAGAAAGCATGGGTGGTATCACAACATGTCAGTTATGTCTGGAAAATAAGCTGAACCACAAGCAAAACTGCTTAATGTGAGTGGTTTTGAATAGTTACCACGCTTAACAAGGCTTAAGGTTAATTTTAATGCAAGTGCTTGGAGACAAGTGAAGTCATCAAAGCAGATTCAAAACAAAGGAGATTGCCCATATGCAGCGTGCAGATAACAGAAATGCATAGCATCCATAGGAACCTTCCTGTGACAAAAGCCTACATGATCCAGACAACGATCCCAAGTGCCAGAAACAGCAATTTTCATTCCAGCAACTCCAGTTCAGGAGCTCCCTGAGCTGCAAGTCCCTGGGAACAAGCCTGGACCAGAGGGAATTATTACCTAGCCTTGTCCTCCTCCATAGGCAGGCCCTAGGAATCTGGCATGTGAGTAAGGAGGGATGACAGCAGTGCTGGGAGCCCAGGGAAACTGCAGAGTGCAGGGGAAGAGCCAGGCAAGGCACATTCATGGTCACAGTGCTCTCCTCCTCAGGGACAGAGGGGCTTCTCACTGTGGCCTTTCATACACCAAGGCCCAGCATGGTGCCCAGGGGACACAAGCCACTGTATGACCCAGTAAGGGTGCTACAAGGTAAAGTGAGCAATGAGGTGCGCAACAAAGGTCTAATATGCTTGTAAGTGTCTAATGCTTTTAAGGGGAGGTGAAAAGGACAGATGAGCATCTAAGTTATGTATTTCTTATGTTTACGTTACCTTTTAAACTCGTCATGATAGAACTCGGATTTGCAAGTCACCATCTCACTGGCTTGACTGTCATCACGACTCCTGACGCCGCCAAACACGTAGAGCTCAGAGGCAACCCCACAGGCCACTGCACCAAACCTGAGAACCCAAATAAGAGAAGAGACAAAGTTGTAATGCATCTAAACCATTCCACGTACTCGCCTGAACATCCTGGGCATCCATTCTGGGCATCTTACATGTTCAGCAAGATTAGATGAGTCACGGACATGAGTTGTAAGCCAGACCATGCAAAAGAACAGAACAATTAAGCATTTATGGGAGGACAAAATTCTGACATTCCAGTTGAACTAGTTTTCAGCCTGGGGTTTGCATCAGGGTTGCTTTGCTTATAATTTCAGGACATCTTTATAACTCTGACACTTTACTAAGCCACATTTTGGCACTACAACAGGCCCCTGTGATGCAGAACAGCGAGGTGAAACTCATAAGAGTCTGTAACAGATATCTTGGATATTCTTCAAAGAAACAAAGATAACTTCCTCTGAGCAGAGGACCAGCACTTCAGCATTAAAAGAACTACACAGGTCATCAAGTATATATTGACACAACTCCAAAGACAATAAAAATCAACTTCTTAAAAATAAATTAAAAAATGAAGTCTCTAAATACACTTTTCTAACTGTTTTGGAAAGTTCTGGTTGAATATACTTTGTAATCTTGATTTTTATTTCCATTTTCACCCACCTTCTCTCTTTTAGAGGACAGATTGCTGTCCACTGCTGAGTCCTAGGATCGTAACATTCCACAGATTCAAAGAGTTTTCCATAGGAGCCTCCACCCATTGCATAGATTTTCTTCTTCATAGCTGCATAGCAGCCAATCTAGAATGAAGGAAAACAAACAAACAAACCCAGACCTCAAGCTGCATACAATATCAAGGGCAGGGCTCAAAACTAAATGAATCTTGTTTAATAGAGAACGTTAAATGTGTGTGTGTGGGGGGGGGGGGGAGAGGAAGAAAGGCTTATCAGGAAGACTAATCAAAATAAACCAGACACTGTTTAAGCAGGACGGCAGAGAGGAGTCTTAATTAAGCTCATAATCATTAATTAAGATCTTAAGTAAACAGTCTCTGAGCACACGGGCAAAGACAAAAAAGGACTAGTTCAAATTTCTTTACCTGGTTTTACTTCCAGCTCAAAAAAACATGGGCATAGAATTGCTCCTTTTAACTGTAACCAGTACCTCACCAATACTAAAACCTAAGCTTTTTATGAGCAAAAAAAATTTTTTTTTTTTTATTACCCTGAACTTCAGGCCATTTATCATCAAACCAAGGGCAGAAGACATGGCAGAACTGAGGTTCAAGTATGGCTCATATTGGCATATTGCTCATACACTGTTACAGCTCAGTTTGCACAACGTTGCCTTCAGTTTAATTTCCCGTTATCATCTGCTTTGTAACAAGTCATCAAAAATACTGTCTGCGTAATAAGTTAATTGCTGTGTACTACAAAGAAAATGAAGTCAATTACAAAACCTTAAATTATTAGATTTTTTTAATGTTTGCTTGTCTGCCAAAATAGAACCAATGTTTTCTCCTTAACATTTCTTTTTGTTGCTCAAGAGAACTGCGACTTGCACAAGAGCTGTCCTGCATTCTGAATGGCCCAAGTTGAACGAGCGTTCAGAGAGGAGTGAGCATCTTCCTCTCACTTCAGGGGCACTTTTACATACACTGATCCCAAGGGAGACAGAGAAAAGCAACAGGACACATCTTAGAAATAACTTGTTAAAACTATGTCACTTAAAAGGTGAGAGAGGGGTAGGCCCCTGGCCTCAGACACCCAGCAATGAATAATGCTCTAATACGCAATTAGTCAAAGCAGTTCTTACCTTTCTAACCATGGTCAAGTCTGGCTGCTTGGTCCAGGTCCGCTTATAAATATCATAGCTCTCCATAGAGATGAGCTCCCTCTCGCCATCCTCACCTCCCAGAATATAGAGAATTCCATCAATCTCCACCACACCAAAATTATGCCGTGCCTAAGGAATAAAGTCAGTTTTGTACTGATGAATTTACAGCAGCACTTATGTTTTAGCACCTCTTTTCTTGCACTTGTCTGCAGCATTATTGCTGAGGCTATGCCATTTAATAACATCTGGAATAACATTTAAAAAATCTCTAATAAAAACAGCATTCTAACAGACAAAACAGCAGAGCCAAGAAAGATCATATAGAAATCTAAGAACAGTGCTTAGTTGTGTTCCCTTTTGAATATACTAGTCTACTACACGAAGTTGCAGTTGTCAGAAATGGGACCCATCATTCTGTAGAAAGGCAATGTCCACTCTCTGCTGCAGGAACACACTTCAGGCACAACCTTATTCATAGCAAACAGGAAAAATAATGCACCATAACTACAACTGTGGGCTTCCTTTAGGTGCAGGTAGACCTACACCAGCAATAACCTAGGCTGAAGAAAAACAAAGTACAATTTCTTAATAACCTAGACTGATTTAATATAAGCATATTAAGAATATATGTTTACATATAATAAACTGTTATTTTTTGATGGAATGCAAACATGAAGAGGAAACGTTAACTCAAACCAGAATTAAACATAAACAAATACACAAGCCAAATTCTGCAGCCCTCGGTGTGTCTCTGCATAGTTCAGTGCCTTCATGAATATAAGGAATTCCCTTGTGGGAAGGGAAAGGCATACATTTTTAAGGCAGAAATTACCTAAAACATTAAGAACACTATATGATCATATACACTTTATGAACATGTAGTTCATGAAGTTGTGTCATTCAGCTGTACTACACAGCTTGGCCAACAGGCAGCGTTTTCTAGATCCTACAGTATCAGTCCAAAAGTAACTAGTAAGAAATAAACACACGGCAATCTGCACCATGATTTTGAAAGCATAAGATGCAAGTGACTGGAGGTTCAGAATAAAACTTTGTAGAAACAACTGATTATTTTGCCAAAGTGAAAAATCAAATCCCAAGAGTTAGACAGTGATCTTGCCTCATTCATTGGTGGCAGGGAACTCCATGAATTGGTATCTGGATCATACTTCTCTCCAGAGCTTAGCGTTGCCTTGTTTTCATCCTGACCACCAAGCACAAATAAAAATCCTTCTGTAAAACAAAATGTAAAGTGATCTTAAAAAACAAGATTCACTTGGCAAGACCACAAGACTGGTTAGCTGCATCTTGGAATTCATTAAGAGACTCAGACTGGTTATGGGTCAAACTCTGAACTGGGGGAGGTAACACGTGTGTCTATCTGTGCTCCGGTCTATCACCGCAGATAACTCTCAACAAATTCAGTGATGCAGCAACTAACTACAACTTAGTTAAACCATGAAATGTGCCTAGAGAGACAGGCGTATCAGACTCACACAAATCAGAGAACTATTCTAGTGTTCAAATGACAGGGATTATCACAGAATAAAGTAGTTTTCTGGGTAGACAAAGGAGAAGCAAGAAATAACCCAAGTGCATTAATCTTGAGGAAAAAAATACAAATGGCATCTCAAATTGAGGCTTTGCTAAGTCTCCATACTATTGGCCTTACAAACACAAGATTGCCCTTTACCTGCTGACAAGACTCCATGGTTGATCCGTGGAATACTCATCGGAGCAAGTTCAATCCAGAGCTGCCTGTTGGGGTCGTAGAGAGGACACATGCACCGCATCACTGAGGTGGGTTTCCGTGACCTGAACAAGGAGGACAGGTGGGAAAGCGAAAGAACAAAGGAAAGAAAAGCAGAAAAAACAAACCTAAATTTATTAGTTGCTAGTAACTTTATCCAAATTACACATAAAAATACACATTCATAAAGTGTGGCACTAATAAGGAAGAGTTTTAATAAGCTTGCCCTGCAAGTGAAATGTGTGTAAATCTCTGTACAGACTGGAGACATAAAATGCAGGTTCACCACATTATGCCTTTATTTGCCTAGAACCACTTTTAAATGAAGACCTGCTAATGACCTAAAAAGCATGGATACAATATATTGGTAAACTCACTGTAAAGTGATGCACAAACTGAAGCGCAAAATTTGCGTATTTTACTGCACTTTTATAAAGACGAAAATTCAAAATGCTAAAATCACCTAAAGACGGAACAAGTCTCTCCCCTTTGCAGGGAATACTGCAAAGGAATTCCCTCTCCCTTACTGCAGGGAATACTCAAGAAAATCATTCTGTGAACAGAAATTTTCACCTGCCATTTCCAATGCACCAACAAATACTTTTCTTTGGAACCACAGCTATTATAAACAAAACAGCTGAGGCAAAGAACACGTTCGTTATTTTTAAGATTTATTATAGATGGTTTTCAGATCTTTATTTTCACCATTTTTGTGCTTATTTTGGATAAAAATCTATTCCATTAAAGCATACCCAACACTTCCTGAGCAGAGCACATCCTACTCTACATTTTCACATACCTAAGCAAAAAAACTAAAGTATAAAATTAGACTTAAATCAATAACATCTACACAATACTTTATACGCATAAACCTTAATATCAAAAAAAAAAAAAAACCCCAAAACCCTGAACTTAAAAAAAAGTCAAAAATTAGCTATTTATTGCCAAATCATTCAAAGATACTTTAGGTGTGTTTGACTAATTGACGTGTTGAAAGGATCAAACAGTAAGCACGTGCACATTAGATGCATACTTTCTTTTCACTCAGCGTTTTCGACGCTATTTGGCCGTGTGCATTAAGGCCACCCAGTACTTACACCCTTTCTTCGCCCCCGACCGTCACTATACACTCAGAGTAGCCCCTGGGCTTGAAGGAGGCCAGCATGGCCTCTCCCTGCTGCGGCGGCGTGAGGGGAATGTTGTTGCATTCCTTGACGATCTCCCGCACCAGCGGCTCGCTCATCATCTGCTCGCGCAAGTACGTGGCATCCAAGCCCGAAACCCACACTGCTGACATAACATCCTTCATGTGAACCTGAAGAAGGGAAGAAAATTGCCAACGCTTCACAAAACGGCCCTAATGCACTCGCACATGCAGAAATTTCTGCATCGATCAAAACTCGGGAGTATTTGTGGTATTTGGAAGCAAGAATAAATTCTGCATTACAAAGTTAAAAAACAGATGCAGTCTGCAAAGTTTTGCTGAAAAGGTACAGCTTGCTTTCTCTCTACAAAAATAAGATACCCCTAACGCCAAAGAACTCCATTTTATTAGAGGGCAGCCTCACAAACACAGCCCATTAACACATCCCAAACACAGCTCTCATTCTTTTGCTGCCATCCCCTCATCTGCAGTTTGGCAAAATCCCAATTAATTATGTCAATGCAACAGCAGCCCTGGAACACATGCATCTATTTTAAGCTCCTGCCAATTAGAATATACATAGTTGAGTCATATTCAAAAAACAAACTCTTGGATATCCTCACCTTTCTTGACTCTGCATCGTGAGAAATCCACCTGATCACTGCTTCAAAGACGTATCTTTCGTTCCCAACATTGAGCTTTTCCATTGACAGCACTTCTTTTAGTTTTTTTGGAGTCAGTTCCAAGAATTCCTCTGTGCTGCTGACATCTCGAAAGTGAGTTTCCAGATACTCTGAGGCAAGGTAGTGAACATGATGCAAACAATAGTGTAGTGCAAAGTCCCGAATACCAATACAGTTCTCAGCAGCTATACAACCTTCTAAAAACTCACAGCAGAGAGCTTTTAAATCTGTTAGCAGCAGGAGATCAGCTGCCTGTACCACATCTTGGATAGTTTCTTCATTTAGCCTGATCTGCAAGAATTAATTTAGAAGTTATAGCTACCATTACTCATTGCTATATGAGATGTCCACAATCATAACACTCATTCTCAGTGGCTGAGAAAGTGAACATTATATGTATGTTCAGTATAAAAATTTATGAGAAATAGATGCAATTACTGCACATTTATAAATGAACAGGGGACTGGGAAAAGAATTAACTTAACAGAAGGTATTTGCAGAATTCGGTGCCTGAAAGAACAATGAAATTGCTAATCTAATGCAAGAACATAACACGAAATAATAAAAATAAGTATATCCAGAAGAGAACTGCCTTTTCTTTTTCTGCTGAAAACTTAATCAACTGGGCAATCCCAATGGGCCTCCAAATTGGCAGGGCAACCCAGGGTTAATCCCTACTAAAACTAATGACCAATGCAACAAAGGATGATGCCAAAGACCCCCAAACTGGGCAATGTGGGCAGCAGTAAGGAAGGTTGCTTGATGTACTAAAATATACAAGTTCAGTGACAGGGTCTTAATCATCATTGCTACCAATCCAATTATCGTTTACTGTTCTAAAAGACTGCATCCTTTTATTACTGGAAATATTATTCACAATTTCAAAACAAGCATTTGATCCTAGATCTTTTAATGGGTCCTCTCCTACTGTATCAGGAGAGAGAAAGTTCCTGAAATGCTTAGTCTCCTTTGCATAGGCAAAACCTTAATGTGATTTACTGCTTTATAGGAAAGAGAGAGGGAGGGAAAAAAAAAAAAAAAAAAAAGCTGTCAAAATAAGGTTCCAAATAAGTTTATCTTTCTGAATAGCAGTGTTAAAAACTTATTTTGTCGAAAAAAATATTTTTATCTAGTTCTTTACCTGTCCACTGAAGATGTAATCTAGTATCTCTTTCATGATATCAACAGATATTCCTTCAAGTTCAATCTTGTATGTTGAGCCATCATCCTTCGGGGGATTATAGTTCAATTTTGTTCTGAAAAAGGAATTTAAAAAAAATCTCTCGTTATCTAGGAATAGCATTTTAAGAAAAAAAACAACAAAAAAAAACAAAAAAGCAACAAGAAAAACTACAGATGACTTAAGCAGTAGCAGATATGTTAAAACTCTACAACATGATTTGAAAATTCTTATTTAGGACCAAGCGGGTGCATTTGCGGTCTCCCATATTGCTCATCACATTTCCAGACTGAACAATTACATGAGCCTTGCAAACTTCTCTTGGCATCAAAGAGCCAAAGTAATTTTTTCCTGGCTCAATCAGCACAGACATTCATAAACTTCAATCAGGACTTAGTCACCAAGTACTGCTGATGGATGAAACACAAGGATTTGCTTTGGTAATAGAGAAAAAAACAACAGCCCCCGGTCTCCCACTCCCCTAAAAAAAACCATATTGCCCAAAAAAGTCATTAAAAAGAGCAGATGTGATCAGAACGCATGGTGGCAGCATAAAATAGTAATGCAATCGAAACTTTTATGTCATTTATGATGTTATCTTCTTATCATTTTATCTGGCCACAACTGAACTGCATGCTTACAGCTCTAGGAACTAGACTTGTTTCTGCTGAATCAAGTTTTGAATATTCATCTATACCACTGGACACTTTATTTATGTATACGCACGAGCCATAAAAAAAGGAAATATAGAGACAAATATAAAAATATATACACAGTCAGAAACCATTTAATGCCTTTTTGAACAGAAAGGCAGAAAATTGAGGGACTGAGATGGGGAATAACAGCAGCAGAGCTTCTTCCCATCACATTAGCACAGAAACTTTTCCAGGAAAGAACATTCCAGGTGCTGGGAGCGGAACACTCTCCACCCATCCAGGAAGAACAGCCATGAGAACTCTGAACACCTACTCTCACACAAGGAACTAGGAACACAACATAAAAGGACCAGAAAACTTGTTTTCACTGCCCGATAGTATCGCTCCATATGTTTAAATAGAAGCCTTTAAAAATATTTTCATATTCATTTGAATATAATGCTAACATTTAATTAGCTTCTTACTGTGAAAAACAGTGCTAAGGTGCAAATATCTCCATTTGTCACTGCTGTCTGCTATCCTCACACTGAGGAAGGACAAAAATATGATTTACCTAAGAGTCAGATTCTGCTTCACTTGCTCAGACTGAGAATATACCAGTTCCTCACAAAACAAGATTCTACTCCCATTAAATAATATCCTAGTCTATAGAAAGTGATATCAAAGTGTGAATAATCATGATAATTTTAGCCCCTGGATCAGTCATATTTGTGGACATTTCCCATAACTCCTTCTCTAAGCCACAAAACATCCATCTCCAGCTATCCAGACATTCGGATTTATTCTGATTCATGCACATGACTAAGCTCTCTGAAGCTCAGCTTTTTCACTCTGCATTTGTACAGCACCTATGACAAGTTACACAAATAACAGGATTCACAATAACATAATTCAAATTACTAAGCTATTTTTTCCCCTAACAAGTGGAAAAAGAGTCAATCTATTCTGCATGACAGGCACTAAAGCACAGGCTACCCCAACAGCAGCAGATCCGTGACCTGCCAGCTGAAAAGCCCCGAGACGAACAGCCCAGCAAGGTGGACACCAGCAGGGCAGGCTGCTCCGTGCTCCCACAGCTGCTCACGGCAGCAAACACCAAAAAGAAAGAAAAAGGAAAAAAAAAAGATCCCGTGAGCTGGGATTCACTCTGATGGGGCAGAGACCTGGGTATTTCGATGTGGGTCTTAAACCAGGTGCAAGGCACAGAATAAACAAGCTGCACGCCAGCACTAATGGGAGACTGGTGCAAGGCCTGGTGCTGTTTATCATTAACTTGCATCTCAGCATCACCTGCACACGCCCCAGCTAAATCACCTCCGCGCAGGGACTTTACACGGCGCCTCCTGGAAACAAACAGAGTTTGGGGCAGAACCAGTTACCGGTCTCGATGCTCTAATTGCTGCATGTTATTTTGGGCCACATTTGTTTATCTGAAGGAGGGCAGGGTGGAAAAACTTGTGTCAACCAAAGAATACAAACACCTAGCAGGAAAAAAAAAAAAAAAAAACACTTTTTTTTTCTTCCAAAAGCCAAAATGTAAATCCCAGTAACTTCAAAGTTACTTAGGATAAATTTAACATCATTAAAATACATCACGGTTAGTTTCAATTGGAAACTCCATGGAACTGCCCTGAGCAACAGCAGCTCCCTCACCTATCGGTGCCACATCTTCTTGGTTAGTGAAGTTACTAGGTTCTCTCTCTTGACAGACGGATTTCCAGACCACGGTCCAAGAAGTGCTGCCCATCAGCAGCTGGAGACAACTCCCTGCAGCTTTCATAAAACCAAAACCAAAAGGTGGAAAAAGGGATGGATTATAATCAGGTTTAGGGCTCTGAACGCTTAAGAAAAGCTAAGGAAAAATAAAGAGGAAATTGCAGGCTCAGGTAAGAAAGGAAGAGGAGGAAGGGGGACAAGAGAAGGGCGATGTCGCCCCTTGCATCACCCACTTCCCCGCCTCACTAAGGAGCTCAGCCTTGGGCATCCTTGTCATAGCACAGGCAACTGTGAAGAAGATTTCCATGTGTGATTGTTCCTAGGTCAGATGGAACAAGAGTAGGCAGCTCGTCCCCAAAGCTGCCATAATTTGGCTTCTCCAGCAAATTCCACTTTAGAAGAAAAGTCCCAGCCTCAAATGGAGAGTTTCGGTCTCCCTCCTCTCCCAGGGAGGGGCCTTTTCTTTCCCTGTTCTGCTCTTCCCTGCAGTGATTTCTTCAGACCAACTTTCAGGAACAAAACCGGGATGTGGAAAGCATCGAGTTTTCACATGAAGATCTGCCCAGCTGCAGGACGACCACTTCCAACGCCAGCACCTGAGCTGCTCCCTCTGCACGGCACTTCTGATGACTCCAAGTGCATTTTAAGTTGCCAAACCACAGGAGAAAAGGTTGCTTCAGTTTTTCTTAATGCAGATGAAGGACAAGACGACCAAGAATTCAAAGGGAAGAGAACCTCACAGCCCACCAGGAAAGGCAATACCTGGGAGAAGAGCGCAGCTGACAGGAGGAGATGCAAGCACACCTGCAAAGAGCTTGAAAGAGGAAAATACGGAAAGTACACCCCAAATTCCTTCTTCCCATTTTCCAAAGCCTTCTCATTTTCAGCAGCTTGGCTCTGTACTTTAAGCACTTTAGAAATCCATTTTCTTTTTCCCCCCAATTATAATAGATTGCCACCACAAGACAAAGCTGCTCCCAATATATACAGGGCCATAAATCAAATGTTCTACAAACACAGTCCAAGAATTATGAAATCTCTTATATCTGTCACGAAAACAGCCTGGCACATCCCAGTCATAAAAACAAGTGTGGCCTTACAGAAACACAGAGTCAGAATCTGCCCTTCCACCCTGCTTGAGGAGCACAGTCTTCCTGAGTCACCAAAATGTTACTGCATAAGGGTACAAGAGGGAAAAAAAATCAGATAGCTCTTCTGTCAGGGTAAGTAACCAGCTGAACAAGACAAAACATTTAAATGAAAACAGGGGCTTAAGAACAAATAGTCATGTTGCCAGGAATCACGACGTGCATCTAACAGCACAAAGCTGGTCACAAAACAGTATTTTTCTCCCCTAGATTTGAATCCAAAACTCCCCATAGTTCTTGATCAAACTGATTTCCAATTTGGTGAAGTTGATCTCCAACTATTTTCTTGTAATACAAAAGTAAATAAATAAAAGAACAAGCAAAGTCCATTCAGAAAGTGGCCATGCACCTAAAAACTTCTTGTTCTTATCTTTAATGTCTGACCTCAGAACGGGGAGGAAATAACAAAATGAAAGACAAAACAAAGGACTCACCACATATAAAGTTTGCTTTCCCAACTGAGGCAGATATATTCCCACTATTCTGCGGGAATAGTTTTATCTTTAATAGCTTGCAAATAAAGTAGAGACTTTATGGAAAGATAACTCAATGTATTTCTCCAGCAGTGACATGACTAACAGTATAGTTCTCGGAAGGCTTTAATCCTTGGAGCGCTGGTATATTTGTACCTAATCAGGTAAAGAAAACATCTGCCAAGATTATACCCTCATACAAGAATATATTCGAGACCACATTCACCTCAAGGAGGTTTCCAATATTTATAGTCAACAGCAATTGCAAAATGTGGGAACCACGGCCGGCTGCTTTCTTTTTAATAGTTTACAATGAGAAAAGAGCAAAGGGTAAAAATACATCAAAACTTTTTGCACTGCAATGTTGGGAAAAGCAGCCAACAATGCACTGACCTGCTTATAAAGCTGTAGTACAATGTCAGAAGGAGAACTTCAAGAGATAAGAGAGAAATATCCTTCATTTGGCAAGACATCTGCTTTGAGAAGAAATGATTTTGCACCAAACGGACTAACCAGAAGGGCCAGTGTTTGCTAGAAAAGCTTTGCCAGGACTGCGACAATAGGACTGAAAGAGCAAAACAATCCAAGTCAAGGAGTCATTTGCAATGTATCCTTCATCTGCACCATTATTTTGGCCTTCTCAAGAGAGCATTTCAAAAAAGTCACACCTCGAACCAAGGTTGCCAGCAAAGACATGCACTGAGACTAAAACATGCTCGCAGATGTGACTCAGGCCCGGGCTAGAACAGGATCCCAAGCAGGCATTAAGGAGCACCAGAAACAGCTAGTTGGTTTTCGAGTTTTTGCACTACCAGGAGAAAACTTAAAAACTCCAATTTCAAGGGAAACACCACCAGTTTGATCTCTTAATTTGAGCTTCCCTCTGTGGGGTCCTGAGTCTTACAGGTCTCCCACAACACTCTTCTCCCACCAAGGCTGGTCTTTCTGCACACAATAAATAAAAACTAGAGACACCACTAAATAGGTCAGACAAAAACATGATGCAGCAGTTTACCCCACCCTCTCCCCTCCTCCAAAAAGTGATTTTACAACCAAATCAGTAGGTTTTCTTTGAGGTCGCAC